GCCCAGGTGGGTGCGGAGGTCAGCATCCCTCAGGGGGGCGCAGGGGGGCGGCGGTGGGGGGGGCGAGGGAGGAGACCCCTCAGGCCACGCCAGGGCTGCCTGCGCCCGGGCCAGTGTCCGGCCCACCTGTGGGGAAACGGGTCACCAGCGGCGCGGAGGGGGGGCTGGATGTGCAGGGAGCTATGGCGGGGACAAACTGGAAGCACTGGGAGGGGACTAGAGAGCAACTAGCACCATAGACAGGGTGCTGAGAGGAACTAGGAGCATTGGGAGGCACTGGGAGGGAACTGGGATGGCCAAGGGAGCACAGGAAGTGCAGGTCTCAGCAGGGTGGGGGAACCCAGGGCCCCGCCGGACGCCCAGGTCCTACTCACCTGTGCCAGCAGGGCCTGGGTGAAGGGTAGTGCTGCGGCCAGGAGCGAGCGGCGCTCGGGGAGGGGCTCTGCCGCTGCCACCTCTCGGGGGCTGATGATGTCCCAGTCCTCCAGCAGCGGGCCTGCAGCACCCAGATGCCTGAGTCCCTCCACTGGGCACCCAGGCACCCAGGTCCTCTTCCTGACACCCACCCTAAGGGGGTGGACACCCGGGTCCCCCGCCAGCCACCCCCCTGGGGATGCTGGGGTTTCCCCTCTCTAAAACAAGAGACTCCACTGAGCTCCCTGGGTCCCAGCTGCCTGAGTCCCACCACCCTCCTCAGCCCGGGGGTCCCCACGCACTTTCAGCGGGGGGCCGGACATCAAGGCGCAGGCGCAGGACAGGCCGGGCGCAGGCGAAGGCGGCTGCCAGGTCCCCATCGCTTAGCAGCGGCACGAAGGTTTCCTGGCCCTGGGGGTCGCGGGCCACGAAGCTGACGGAGAAGCTCTTCTTCCTGAGGGGATGCGAGGGGGCACTCAGCAACCGAGGCACCCCCAGGGGATCAGGCGGCCCCGGGGCGGGGCCCGGGCTCACCCCTGGAGGTCGAAGGCGCGGGCCAGGATGTGCTGCAGCACGTCCAGCGAGGTGATCTGCGGGTCGACGGCGAAGGAGCGGAACTCGGGCGGCAGCAGCCCCTCACTCTTCTGCGGGCAGCGTCAGCCAGGCGCGGCGGGGGGGGGCCCGGGGGCGCGGCCGAGGCCCCCCCGGCC